CGGCCGCAGCACGCCCCGAGTTGCGCGGAGTGCGAGGGCCCGCCCAACGCTGCTTGCAGCTTTAATTATCATTATCTTTACTATTACTTGTTCATTAATCAATTAGTTGGCCACAAAGTTGTTAATCATTTGAGAGATATTTTAAGCAAAATATTTGATGGTTCCAGCAAAACGTGACAACAAAAACTTATTTTCTTCCTCATATGTCCCAGACTGTGCAGACTTCCTGATGCTCTCCTAACTTTTTTCATCCACATTTAAAGACTTTTTGTCAAAAATATTTTTATTACTTCTTCTCTTCACACACAAGCTTTCTACCTCAGCTGAGAGGAAACCCTGCATTGTAAAAACCTGTCCCTATAAAACTGAACTTAAAGACAGAGATAAAAGTTAGTGCATCAAGAATATTCAACCTTTTTGATGCAGATTTATGTTGGTTTTTAAAACCTGTTCTGCTCTGTAAGATTATACACATGGGTCTGAAACTTTCTCCCTCCTCCTTTGGCTTATTTTGCTTTTTCTCTTACCCAACTCCTTCCTTCACATTGAGGGTTCAAATTCCAGTTCCTCCCTCTTCCCGCGGCTGTGGGCCAGTAAAGCTGGAGGAGTGTCAGCTGCTGGAGGAGCTGGACGGTTTCATAAACAGCGCAGAGGAACTGAGTCGAACTGCTGCTTTCACAGTGAGTCTGAATGAATCTTTTCTCTCTCTTCTGTCCTTTCAGCCTTTTTACTGGGACTATTAGGACTGTTAGATTGTTCTCTCACTCTCCAAACTCAAATCAAACAAGGCAAAGTTTCCGGAACTGATTTATTGAGCTGCTGAGCTGCATGCTGACAGCTTTGATTCATGAATCAGTGCTGCTGAATTTACAGTTGCAGGCACAAGTACATGGACACTGGTGCAAAGTGACTAAGTACATTTGCTAAAGTACTTAATTACAGCTTTGAGGTACTTGTACTTTAGCATTTCCTAGTTAGTAGTTTTCCCAGTTTATGCTCAAATGCTTTTAAAAAGGCAGTAACAAGTTTGAATTAAGTGATTAGGTTTTTAAATTAAGTGATTAGGTTTTGACAAGTGACAAAAAATCAGGCTTTAAGTTTGACATTAACTGAATGTTTTGGAAGAAAAAACAAACAGAGTTTAAGCAGTTTTTAATGGCAATAAAAATGAATCCACTTTATCTCCTAGAGCCACATTCAAAGTCATGAGCGGTGACAACATGGAGTTAAATTAAAAGCAGACGCACTCTCACCAAGCTGAGCTCAGAGTGATGCAGCAGTCCGACTCATTCCACAAAGACACACTGTCAACTTACAGGAAATAACCATCCAACCAACTTATACGAGCTGCCGAAAAGCCACATGACTTTCTGCAGTTCCTGGAATGGCCACTAGATGCTGCTCTAAAGAACTCAGTAAACTGATTGAAAATACATGAATTCAAGAAAATCCGCTTAGTTCACCATCCATGCATTGCACTTATTACAGTCCAGTGTGTATCATCAGTTGAGGCTGGTGGGAATGTCATTAGATATTTATCAGTATCAGTAAGTATTTGACATATTTTGACCTCATGTTTTGGGACAAGATGCAGAGGTTTTGGGACTAGTTGTAGAGGTAATCCTCAACTTTTTTAGAAAACCCCAACTCACAGAATTGTCCACATTTTCTTGGTGTAGTTACACTTTTAAAAACCTGGGTATACTATTTTAAAAGCCTGTGCATAGTCTTTTAAAAGCATGAGTATAGTTACTCTTTTAAAAGCATGAGTATAGTTACTCTTTTAAAAGCCTGGGTATACTCTTTAAAAAAACCTGGGTATACTCTTTTAAAAGCCTGGGTATAGTTACGATTTTTGGCCTGGGTGTAGTTAGTCTTTTAAACAACTCACATGTAAAGTGAGTCGGAGGTCGACTTGTTTTCTTTGCGTTCAGATGAGATAAAACAACCACCACCAGAATCAGCGTCTGGCTTTCGTTCTGCTGACATTCCTCTGCTGATAAGATTCCTCTGCCTTCTAGCTACAATATGATTGATGTCTCTTTCTTTCTCTTTCTGTTCTATTGTTGGTCTTTTTATGTGTCCGTATTTCTGTTCCAAAACTTTTTGGTCCGATCTAGAAATGACCAAAAACGAGCAACTGGTCAGACGCTGCAATGGATACAATTCACAAGATACAACTGCGTATTTTAAGTGTACAATTCTGTCTCTGATTGTACGTTAAGTGTATAAATGTGCAAAAATTTATAGTTTGTGTTAGCAATTCACAAAAATACCTCAACCAGGTGGGAGAGGCCAGACAATTAGTATTCGTGACATTGTAATGGCGCACACGATAAGTGTTGCCATTACATTTTCCCAACATTGAAGAAATAATACTGGCACTGATGGTCCAACATACACTTAAAAAAAATGCCCAAATCAATGGTAGTGTCTCCTTCTTCTCGCCAATTTAACTTGAATCTACCTGCGTCTTAAAAGGTTTGTCACAATCAGGAGCTGCGACGACAGTAACAGAACAGATCAGAACACACGTGGGAGCACTTTGACATTGGGGAGACCAGAAGAAAGGAGTGCTCAAGAGGTTCGTCAATTCTTTTTTGAATGCTGGCACAGGATATTAATCAACCTCATCCCACACAGGACAAACTTCCCCACATCCTACAATCCTGTCAACACAGGTCACTGTCGTTTTAGCAAACTCACCTTTTGCAGGGACTAGCTGCAAATTTATCTTTTAGAAAAACAGGTGTTTAAATGTTCGACAAGCATGCAAATTGTTCACTAAAATTCACAACTGGCAAACCAGCAGAGAAAAGAGTTTATTTATTCCAGAAGAACTGGAGATATACATTGCCCCACAAGAGAGACATAAACACTGTCACAAAGGACCCTGCTGAGCTCAGTCTAAACCTGCATCCATTAGTTGAGTGGTTAGTTTATCTGTTTGTTAAATCCTTATTAACCTTTTCTCCCTCTAGTGCTGCAGTCATTTTAATTTTGGCCTTCGCCCAGACACAGCCAGCAGCTTTCACTCTCGCTCTCACTATGTAAACATACAGCACACACACATATGTTCGCTCTCCAACAATCTAGAAAACTACAGCCGTAGCCACAGGTCGACATGTGTGTGAGAAATGAGCAGAAACTCTGGAGTGCAGTGTGTGTTTGTTGGCTGCCTTTTGTGTCCAACGTTGGGTGCTGTGTTACAGCAGCAGGAACTGAGCAGTCACATGTTCAGAGTCTGGATGTTGAAATGGGCTTTATGACTGCAGTAAATGTGGCAGTGTGTGTGTTTGCTGAGTGGTATTAACAGGTAGATATCAGTGTTGACTCCTAACAGACTGTGTTTGTATTTTACAGGTGAAAACTGAATCATGGTGGCCAACAACCTCAACACGAACTCTGACCCCGCAGGGTCACGACCTCCTGCCCTGCGCTGGAGTCCATTCAACAACATCAAGGTTTGTCTCTGCTTCACCTCCAGTGTTTGATGAACAGTGACACTCAACCCAAGAGCAGAATTACTTGAAAGCTTTGTACTCATTGGACTTGGTGTTCCAGAGGTTTCTGTGCTGTGAGGACAAAGTTCACTTCCTGACGTCCCTCCTGGTATTGTTCTCTGGTCTCAACATGAAAACATTTCCTCTGGAGCTCACCGTCACTCGTGGTTTCACTTTTTCAGGCCTCGTATTTGTTTGTTAGATTTTGATTAGTTTGATAAGTGCAATTTGCACTACCTTGTACCTCCTTCAGCCGTCACTCTTTTCAGTCTGCTACTCCCAGTGACCAGAACCAAAAGTCTGCACACCCTTATTCTGTTTTCCTCCTTTAATAACTCATTTATTTCTGATCACTGCACTTAGTTTTGAATCTACCTCTCTGGAACACAGTACCTATCTGTTGTGTACATACTATATTGGGCTGTTTTAACTGTTTAACTGTATTGTTTTTTGCTGTATATATAGATATATATATATCTATATATCTCTATATATATAGAGAGATATATATCTATATCTATATCTATATATATATACACATATATATATCTAGATATATATAT